AATCCTTCTTCTGAGAGCCTTGAGACATACTTTACACTAAATTTTTGACTTGAGGTGTTTGGGACCACATGGTTTGCATAAATGCAGGCTTCAGACATCCATAAGGGCTATGCCTGTGGTTCTGTATTCTCTTTTCTCCTCTCCATGCAGGCAATGCCCTGGGAAGGTGGATCTATTGCTGGTTCCCTCTTACACTGATGATACGGACCTTCAGATTCTGTGTTAGATACATATGGTGATTCCTTCTGCCACCTCTGGTCTTCACTTCAGTTGTAGGGGAACGCTGTGTCTGAACACGGTCTCAGCTTTGATTTCGGCCACAGTTCTGCTGGATAATTCCTAGGAAGCTCTCACTCAATTTATACAACCTGCACCCCACTTCAAGTGCACATATCCATCTTTCTGCTTTTGCTCCAGGACTTTGTCAAAGCCAAAGAATCCGGCTGGCTTGCATGTCAGGAAGGTTCATGTGTGAGGAGGGAGTCGACACCCCTGAATATAACCCTCAACCGAAAGGAGAGGAGGCTGGTGGATACATGTCCCAGGTTCTTGTCTTTTAGGTGAACAATCCTGCCAGGTATTCGGTCTGCATCTCAAGATGCCCGTGCAGAAACTGCATGAGAACTTCACATACTCATCCCAGGTGGCCCCCCACTTTCCCTGTCTAATCCTTCCCAATTTCACACTGTTTCTGCAGTTGCCTTCCAAATTAACTACTTTAGTGTCAACCTAAATGAAAACAGGATCCCACCTTTATGCTTTTTCCAAAATGAGATTTCTTCTTCTTCTCTTTCTTCTCCTCCTTCCTCCTCCTCCCTTCTTCTTCTCCTCCTCCCCTCGTTCTTTTTCTTCCCCACTCCTCCACCCCCTCCTCCCTCCTCCTCCCCCACTTCTTCCTCCTCCTCCTCCTCTTCTTCCTCCTCCTCCTTCTTCTCCTTCTCTTTCTCTTCCTCCTCCTCCCCCTCCTCCTTCTTTTCCTCCTCCTCCTTTTTAAATAATTTCTTCTTTCTCCCTACCACAAGCTTATAAAGTATTTGGGATGGAGTGAAAAAGAGACTTCTGACATTTTCCAAATCTCACATTCAACTTGCAGCATCCTGACTAGATAAAATTTATTCATTGTGCTATCATCACCTCACTGTAACGAAAGCTCCAGTTGAATTTCTGCAGCCATCATATCTACCTGGAAAATTAGAACTGGAAATTCATACACATAGTTCCAGATTTCCTTCAAAAGCAATCAACGAGACAAAACAGTAAGCAAAGTGAACAGGTAAAGTGGAAAATTGCTGTGATTTTACAGCCACAGACACCAGATTCCAAAACAGTCACTGCGAGGGTAGCCATAAGGGACAGAGCCTCATGCTGTCACCAGAGGGCAGCAGAGGCCAGGGAACAGGTGGAGAAGGCTCTATCAAACTAGGGAACCTGCCAGAGATCTGACAGAGACAAGACTAACATTTATTGAGGCCTGCTATAAGTTGGGCATTGTGTTGGGCACAAGAAGAAATGGTACAAAGTTCAAAGGCAGAGAACAGAAACCAGAGCCAATGAGGAATGGAACAGAGTGGAGTTAAGAGGGCAGTTCTTCAGGTCAGCCAAGAAACGCCCAAAGACAGCATATCTGCAAGTACAAGTGCAGCGCCAGAAATTAATGTAATGGCTATGGACTTGTCCTCTGCCAGGCAGCTGGGCTGTTGCTACAGAATCAAGGCGGGGGGTGCTGTAAATTTCGAGGATCCCTGAGAGTCAGTCAGCCTGGATGTTTACACCAATCAGAACTTAAATGGCCCTTTGCCTGAGCAACCATGAAACTTTCTTGATGATTTGTGAATCTTCTCTCACTATAGAAATAAACATAGTCAGGGGCGCCTGGGTGGCTCAGTCCGTTGAGCGTCCAACTCTTGATCTCAGCTCAGGTCATGGTCTCAGAGTCATGAGATCAGGAGTTGGAGCTCTGCATCAGGCTCCCCATTCAGTGGGGAGTCTGCTTCCCTTCCTTCTCTGTGCCGACCCCCGCCCCGCCAATTGAACCCATGGGCTCCTTCTCTCCAAAAGGAAGTAAATAAATCTTAAGGAAAAACCACACACACAAAAACTAAACATAAAAGAAACATAGTCATGTGCCACAAGTTCCAGGCTTTCCCCTCATGTTAGCAGTGCTGGCATTTTGATCATGTCTCTTGCGCTTGGTAATAAAATCCCCCAACTCTACCAGATGGTCACCAAGTAGGGAATGCACTGTGAGTGCCAGCTTGCTTGAGGTTAATGGCCTCATGGCACTTACATTCTTTTCTGTACAGTGAGGCTGACTGTCTTCCAAAGGCTCTGTGGAAATTCTTAAGCCCCTGGAAAGTTTTAGTGGGCACAAGAAGAAGCCCCAGGGGAATCTGTCCAGTGTTCACTGAGTGGAACTTTTCATTAATAGATTGGCTTGGTGTCACTATTTTTTCCCCTAAATCTTCTTATTACCATGCTATAAACTCACTTGGATTTTGGCATGTCCTAGTAGTTCTGTTTCAATCCTTCATATAAGGGTTTTTTTTCCAATTTTTTTTCCTCAAATTTGGTCATCTTAGACTTTGGTGGATTTGCCTATTTACACCTAGTGAATTTCTTCCTTTGCTTCTTTTTGTTTCTTGCTATCCCTCGAGGGGCGATGCTCTGTGGGTCAGATCTCCGGTGACACCTAGGAAGCGCAGATTGTGATTTCTGCCACTTGCACGGGCCCAATTCCAGGAGTTTGTGGGATGGGTGGCTCAGAGAGGTCACACGTATCTTCAGGATGGAAGCCTGGGTGGCTGCTTCAGCCTGAACAGGTGCCAGACGCTGGGACTCCTTCTGGGTTCCAGAGCCTAACCGACATTAGCTTATTAGCTTCCTTCCTCTTCCTCTTCTACTTCTGGTTCTGCCTCTGGAGGGCAAATCCGGTCCATCGCCACCAATCAGATTGAATTAGACACCAAACGTTTTGTTTTTAAGATTTTTATTTATTATTTTATTTGTCAGAGAGAGAGAGAGAGGTAAGCAGAGGGAGAAGCAGGCTCTCCGCTGAGCAAGGAGCTGCATGTGGGCTTTGATCCCAGGTCCCCCATGATCATGACCTGAGCAGAAGGCAGGCGCTTAACCGACTGAGCCACCCGGGCCTCCCGAGTGTTGAGGACAGGTTCCTCTGGTGGGAACGGATGTGGGTGAGAAGACCTCTTGAGAAACTCTTTTATCTGCACTGAGCTAGCCTGAATTTCTAGTTCCCACTGTGGGCCTTTGTTGTTACACCCTTCCCCCTTTGTTTTAGGAAAGTCCATTGGGATCTCAGCTGGGGTCTGATAAATCCCAGAAGAATGCTGTGTCCAGGCCTCCACCCCAGGCACCAGCAGTGAGGGGCGTTGTGGTCTGGGGAGAATTTACAGCAGTAATAAGACGGAATCAGAGGGTAAGAGTTGGTAAGCTTTTTATCATCAGGATGCTCCCGCAGGTCTACCCAGCCTGGTCAGTGAGAAAAAAAAAAATGTTCCCGCCCTACTGGACCAGCCTCTCCCGCCCCGACCCTGCCGCCCCTCCCCCCAGCCAAAGGAGCTGCAAAACTTTCTTGATTTTCTTTTTTCAGCGTTTTTATTTTTCAAAATATACAATTTATGTACACCTTTATTTCACAATTGTAGTTTGCATATTTATTCTGAAATCTTTAAATAACTCCACGGTAAACAGTACAAATCACAGGATTCCTCATGCTGCTTCTCTTTTTAGCCTTTACCCTCAGCGAGTTTTCAGGAAATTTCAAGTAGTAACGGTTTGTGGGTAAGAAGAAAATAAGAACAGGACAACATTTTTTTACATAAGCCTGACATGGAGAATTAGACAGGGCAGTCTGAGCAGCTACTTGGTCTGGGGCCAGACTAAAGGCATTTATATGGTTTATAAATAAGACTCTCTTAGGAGCAGTGAGGGTTTTGGTTATAAGGAAGAAGGGGCAAGAACCTCATCTGCTGGGGGGAAGGTGCAGGGAAGCAGAAGGTCGGGGAGATAAGGCACCGCATGAAAGCTCCTTCTTGGTGTCAGGAGGCACTAGCTGGAAGGGTCCTGAGTGAGGGGGATGGAGGCCCACCTGTGCCAGGTAGAGGTCAAGAATGGCCAGACATTGGGTGGGGCTCCTACCCACAGAGAGGCCTCTTCAGCCTCCCTTGGGGAAAAGCTTTGAGATTCTGAAGACAGGCGGGTTAGGGCTAGAGAAGCTGCTGGTTCCTAAAGAAAGGAGCCTGGGCTCCCATCAGGTTGGAGGCCCCGCCAGCAGCCCCTGGCCCATTTGCAGAGGCAGGTGAGGGCCATGCGTGTGGGTGCTGGAGGAGATGCAGCCCGAGACATCTGGCCCCACAGCGGGCAGGTGTGATGGGTGGTAGACAAAGGCACTGCCGCCGGAACTGGAGGTGGCCTGCAGGAGGGGTCATGTCGTCTCTTTTTGTGACAAGAGCCCTTCATCTACCTCAGTGTTCTCCACTCATCAGGAGAACAGCAAGAGCCACCAAAGTCTCCCCAGAAAAGGAAGGTTAGGGAGACAAGGGCCACAGGCCCTGCACATCCACTCTTTGCAGCTCCACCATGGGGACAGGAGTGTCCTAGGGAGTCCAAGCTGTAAGACACAGGTGGGGACACAGGTTTGGCCTCAGAGGTCAGTTTCCTTCATTCCCCTTGGGAAATTCCCTGTTGGCCTGGTCCTGAAGCAGTCCCATGGGCTAAGGCTCAGGGCAGGGGTGCAAGTGGAGAGGCCAAGATGCTCCAGGAAAGAACTCATCCCCGAGAGCTACTTGGTGGGTCAGGAGCGCTGTCTCAGGGTCAGTCCCAGCCTTCCTGGTCTTCCCAGCACCCTCACCGAGCGCAAAGGCCTGACAAAGCCTGTCCTGCCTGGCCGAGCAAACCTTTGCAGGGTCTTGGGGGGGGGGGGCGGTGGGGATGGGGCAGAGGCCACGGCCGGGCAGAGGGTAGGACGGTGGGGCTGGGAGTTGTCATTGCATCTTCAGGTGGGGTTCTTCCGGTATGAGGGTGTGGAAGAAGTGATCCCAAAGTTTACTGCTGATGCCGTATCCTAGAGAGGGAGACAAACGGGGAGAAGATGAGGCACTGGAGAGGACGTGCGAGGAATTTCCTCAGGAAGGGAGCCTGGGGAAGGAGGACCAGTACGCAGGCGGGGTTTGAACATCTGTCCCTGCTGGCCTTCCCAACTCTCAGGGCCATCCTGGCAGAAGTCGAGACCCGGCACTTGTGTTTCTAGTCTCCCGAGGGTGTCACTGGAATAAATCCAAGTTCCTTATCGGTCCTGAGTTCCAGGGAGAGCCTGGCCCCTGCCCGATGCTTCCCCTCTCTCATACTTCAGCCTCTTCCTTCTCTTTGGAGATGACAAGTTCATTCCTGCTTCACAAGCTGGAACAGAGGCTTTGCATCTGTTGCTCCTGGGATGCTCTTTCCCCGGACACTGGATGCCGGCTCCTCTTAGCAGACACCTCAGCTGCAAAGACAGCTCTGCGCGGACACCTTCCTGGACCGCTCGACCTAGGGCTGGGCCGTCGTACGTGGGAGACCCTGGCCCGTGTGGCTGCTGGGCACCAACCACTAGAGCTAGAGCTATGGAGGTACTAGATTCCTAATGTCATTTAATTTTACTTGACTTAAATTTCAGTTTTAAAACAGAGAATTGATTGAGTTCTGGAAAACTTTTAAGCGCCGTTTACAACAACTCACATGTATGAATCTATTTTTTTGGCACTTTTTATAGTCAATTTTATAAACTCTAAAAATAGATCAAGTATTTCTTTTTTTTTTTTTTTTAATTTATTTGACAGACAGAGATCACAAGTAGGCAGAGAGGCAGGCAGAGAGAGAGGAGAGGAAGCAGGCTCCCTGCTGAGCAGAGAGCCCGATGCAGGGCTCGATCCCAGGACCCTGGGATCATGACCTGAGCCGAAGGCTGAGGCTTTAACCCACTGAGCCACCCAGGTGCCCCAGATCAAGTATTTCTAATGAAAACTTAGCACTTGAATTGAGATGTGCTGTAAGTGCAAAGTCCACACCAGATGTTGAAGACTTAATATATGACAGAGAATGTAATATATCTCATTAGCAAATGTCCATATTAGTTACAGGTTGAAATGGTGATATTTTGGTTGTGTTTGGCTTAATAAAATATATTATCAAAACTAACTGCATCTGGGGTGCCTGGGTGGCTCAGTCATCTGCCTTCGGCTCAGGTCATGATCCCAGGGGTCCTGGGATCGAATCCTGCATCGGGCTCTCTGCTCAGCAGGGAGCCTGCTTCCCCTCTGCCCCCCCCACCCCATTCGCATGCTGCTTCTCTCTCGCTCTCAAATAAATAAAAATTTTTTAAAAATTTAGAAAAAATTATATCTGTTTAATTTTACTTGTCAATGAAGCCACTAGAAAATCTAAAATCACATCTGTGACTCACATTATATTTTGTTAGACACAGCTGGACCCTCCCCTACAACCTCTTGGTTTCTTCTTTCTGTGGCCCTTAACACAGCGTAAAATCATCTTTGCTAATTTATTGATTTTCTTCTTTGTCTCCCAGTGAGCGGGGTCAGAGATCCTGATTTGCCTTGCTGTAGATTCCCCCGTACCTAGAATAGTGCCTGGACTTTGCTAAGGCCTCAACGGTGATTGGCAAATAAAAGAGTAAGCAAATGGGGGAGGCAGGGACGTGTGGGCCTCACCTGACTTCTGATGTGCAAAGTGATGCTTGGCGTGGTAGGCCTTCATGTTGTACAGGTAGGAGCCCTTGTGTGGCGAGCCGAAGTGTAGGTAGTAATGGATCATATCGTAGATGATGTAGCCCAGGAGGCCCCCAGCAAACATTATGCCCCCCACCGCCTCAGGGAGGAGGAGCCGTAGAATGATGTAGAAGAAGGCAATACCCAGAGAAGCCGGTACGGGGGGGAAGACCAGGCGGGATTCATCGAAGGGTGCCTGTGGATGGAGAGGGTCACATGTCAGAAGACAACCAGGCCAGCCAACCTGTAGTCTCAGCAGCAGAGGATAGGGGCAGAGCAGCCCACACATTCCAGCAACGTGTCATGGGGGGTGGGGGGACTGGCACCTTCGGTGGCTTTGGGGAGGGCAGGCCACCATGCTTGAGAGCCCTTGAGATCCTGTCCTGCTCCCAGTTTCCAAGTCGGGATATGACCTGGAAGCATGTCCCCAAACATGGTGGTGGATGTGATGTGGGTGGGACCCTCATGGCTCAGAGTCTTGCTTTCTGCTCATGAGGTCACTTTGGCTCTGGAATTTGTAAAGTGCTAGAGAGGAGAGCTACCACCAGACGCCACGCAGGGTCCCCGCACTGAGGCCTGATGTTGTCTGGGAGGGCAGCACCCCGACAAGCTGAGGTCAGTGCAGGCTCACAGGGAAGAATGGTACTGGAAGTGTTCACAGATACATTCTCCCCGTCCCTACATCCTCAGGGGAGCCCTACTTGGTTCCAAGGGGGTGTGGTCACGGTGAACCAGAACAAAGAGCCAAGACTCAGGCTCTGGAGCATCAGAAGCCAAGGGCTTGGCATGGAGGTACGATTTTAGAGATGCCTTGGTGAGTATTCTGGGAAGAGCCCGACCCTCTCTGGGCTGGGAGGGTGGGTGGGGAAGAGCGAGAGAAAGCAGGTGATAGTCTCAGGGCCATGTGCTGACGTGGGCCTCCCCCCGCCCCCCAGCTCCTTGAAGAAGGTGGGAAGGGAGGGAAGGGGGAGGGAGAAAATAGGGAAGGCATGCCCTGGGTGAGGCGGAGAATAGCACTCTGCAGGAACTGAGAAGGAGGGGTGGGGACTGCAGCCTCCTACATCAGCTCTGGTTTTGCTCCCAGCCTCTGGATGACATACTGTCTGTCCCCCAAGGGCCGCAGGGTGGTGGAGGGTTGAGTGCCTGGACTCGAGTTCACAGAATGGGACACAACCTCCTGGGTGTGACTTTGGGCAACTTCCTCTGTTTCTTAATTTCTCCAAGCCTCCGTGTGCTGCTCTGCGGAGGGGGACAACCGTAGCACCGTGTTCAGAAGGAAGCTCTACGGGGGGCTGTGACTTTTTACTGTTTTGTCCAACGGTGTCTAGAACAGTGCCTGCACGTGGTGAGCACTGGGGGCGCGGGAGAGGGGGCGTCTGTCCAATGAATGAATGAATGAACTGGTTGGTGTGAGCAATCAAGGCGATCTCTGAAATGGACCCGGACCCGCCGCGTGCCCGGCGTGAATGAGGACTGCGTGCAGGCACGACGCGCGCTCACGAGGCGCGCTCACAACGCCGATGCAAGGCCCGCACCCGGTCAGACGAGGCGCCAGTCATCCCTCTGAGCAGCACCTAGTACCCTGATTGCCTCTTGGTGCCCGGCTGCCTCCCACAGAGACCCGCAGGCCCCTGGGCGCTGGGGACAGCTGCCAGGCGACAGGCGGGAGCCTGCCCAGCTCACCTTGTGGTGCTGGCCGTGCAGGACGAAGTGCAGCATGATGAGGTAATGGCTGTCCCTGGGGGGCTTCATGTGGAACAGGAAGCGGTGGATGAGGTACTCCAGCAGGCTCCAGAGGAGCACCCCCATCACGAAGAAGCCCGGGAACGCGGACTGCGGCAGGGCCACAGAGTACTCTGCAGAGCGGCAGGAGAGAGAGGGGCCGGGTCAGGGCGGATGGCCCCAGGGCGCCTTGATGGCTGGCGGCTCCAGGCGGCCCGTCCTGTGTCACTGCCCTGTCGCTTGGGGAACGCCCACCCTCCATCCACCAGCTAGGGGGCCGCGCCACCTTCGAGGGGGCTCTTGGGTCAAAATGGGCAGTGAGGCCTGAGGATCTGTGCTGGGCTGGGCTGGCCGGAGCGGTCCTCTCGGGGAACGATGGCGCTGCCCGCCGCGGGTCTGAGATCCTCCTGAGGGAGGCTAAGAGGAGCAGCTGTGACCAGCGCTGGAACTTTCCCTGGTGCAGTGGTCTGAGTGTCCCCCCACCCCCGCCGCCAAATTCTTATGTGAGCCAAAGGGAGGGTGTCGGGAGGTGGGGCCCTTGAGGGGCGCTTAGGTCGTGAGGGTGGAGCCATCACGGACAGGACTCGTGCCCTCGTGGGAGAGACCCCACTGAACTCCTCCCCTTTCGGCCTTGGGAGGATACAACAAGTTTGGGACCTGCAAGGGGGGCCGCTCACTGGACCAGGCTGGCATCCTGATCTTGGACTTTCAGTCTTTGGAACTGTAAGCAATCAATTTCTGTTTTTTTTATAAGCCCCCCCAGTCTGCGATGTTTTGTTAAAGCAGTTGGAATGGCTGACGTACCTGGGAAGGGTGACCTTGCTTTAGTGGCACTGGGGAGAGGGAGGGATGACACCAACTAAGCCAGTAGAGCCAGGGGATTGTGGGCGAACGATGTTAACAACAAGGGATGAGGGAGGGAGGGGCAGGAAGGACAGAAAAACCCAAGTAGAGAAATCTTAACAGATAAGACTTGAAATCACAGCATATACAAGAGAGATGTGAAAAACCTCAAGATGATTTGCCTGGAGACCAGAAGACCAGAGAGATAGACTTGTCATCAGGTGTGAGGTTCCCCACCCCCAACCCTCTGATGACAGCCCACGGTCTTGGAAGCTCTCACTTCTTGTCCTCACTCATTTTTGGCTTCATGAGGACACCGGCTCTGGCCACTGTTTTCTCCACACCTATTCTCACTCGGAGTTGTACTTTCCTCCACAAGCCATTGCTTTTGCCAGACTTCCTCTCTCTTTTGAAAAATAACAGCTTTCATGAAATATAATTCACATATCCTATCATTCACCCCCTTAAAGTGTATGATTCAGTGGTTTCTTTAGTATAGTCAGTATTGTGCAGCCAATCACCAGTCAATTCTAGAACATTTCTATCACCCCAAAAAGAAACCCTGTCTCCGTTAGCAGTCACTCCCCATTCCCCCCCACCCCTGCTCTTTCCCAGCCCCTGGGAAAGCACAAATCTGCTTTCTGTCTATGGATCTGCCTATTCTGGACATTTCCATATAAATGGAATCCTGCCATGTGTGGTCCTTTACGACTGGCTTTTTTTTTTTTTTTTTTACATATACTATTTTCAAGGCTCATCCTTGTTGTAGTTTGTGTCTGGTTTTCATTCCTTTTTTTCCATGTACCACCTCCGTTTATCCGTTCCTCAGTTGATGGACATCTGGGCTGTTTTTACTTTGGGGCTATTACAGATAATGCTGCCATGAGCATTCCAGTACAAGTTTTTGTGTGGGCATGTTTTCTGTCTCCTCTCTCCGCCTGCTGGGTCACTTGGCTTTTCCTCTCTTCTCTAGATGCCCCTCGTCAGGTACCATCACAGAAATGCTGCCCCTGTCCTCAGCACCAAAGCCTTGACCCTCGACTCTCACACATTCTCTGCTGGATCCTGGAAGTCGGCCGGGCTCACTGGCTAGCAACCCCCCTTCCCCAGACCTCCACCTTCACCCTGGTCCTGGACAGCCAATAAGCCTGTCCACAGGTGCCCATAGTCAGCAGCTGTCAAATGAGGCCAATCATCTTCTTCTTCCTGCCCATCCTGTCACCCTTCTTCCACAGCCAGGGGTTCTAACATCCACACATGACCAAAGCCTTGACTTATCCCTCCCTCCTGCATCCATCCAGGCACCAGGCCCTGTGGTTTCTCCCTAACAGCTCTTGGTGAAGCAAAAGAAGCCAGAGCCAAAAGCCCACGTGTTGTATGATTCCACCTGTACAGAAAGTCTAGAACTGGCAAATGTACAGAGGCGGAAGGCTTATTTGGTGGTTACAGGGGCTGGGGAAAAGGGAAATGGGGAGTGACTGCTCAGTGGGTACAGGGTTTCCTTTTGGGGTGGTGAAGATGTTTTGGACCTAGGCAGAGGTGGTGGTTGTATACTGTTGCAAAGGTACTAAATGCCACTGAATTGCTCCCTTTAAGCGGGTTAATTTTATGTTACGGGAATCTCATTTCAATTAAAAAAAAATCTCTCTGGTGGATCCCCTGCTCTTCATCCCTTACCGCATTATCACTTCTTGCCCAATGAGGCATCTGCCTCCCAGCCCACTCCCCTGCATCCGGGCACTGCTCAAACTCTTCCATGGTGCCTCCTTACCTTTAGATAAAGTGCAAACCCCCAGCAGGGCACTCAGAGTTCCTTGAGTCCCGTCCTGCCAGCCACATCCTTGCCTTGCTTCCCTGTCCACCTGTCCTGGGGCCAAACCAGAGTCCTTAGGTCTCCTTAGATGTACCTCATCCTCCTTCCTCCCCGCTCTCACCATATCCCTAATTTTGCTCATGTTTTCTTTACTTCCCTCCCTGCCCCCTTATCCTTGGAGATTCAGCCCAGATGTCTGCTTCGAGAAACCTCCGCAGATGCCCTTCATCCCCACCTGGGCTGGTTTCCGAGCTCCTGCCCCGCCCTTCACATGACGCTTAGGGCTGCCCTGTGGCTGCTGTTTCACCCTCCATCCCCATCTTACAGAGAGTGGGCCCAGTGTAGATGACCACAGGTGGCTGCTGAGGAAGGAAGAAAGCCCAGGAAGGCAGGGGGAGGAGGTGACCTTCTGGCTCTCTGAAACAGAATCCAGGCCCAGCCCCATTCTGACAAAACAATGAAGGACCAATATGAACCTGACCTTTTGTACCAGGCTGAGCTGAGGGGTGGGGGTAAGGGTGAGCAGTAACCATAAGAGAGCCTGGAGGGCTTCTCAAATGGGACCATACTGCTGACTGCTGACCCAGTGGGGTGGGGGGTGGGGGGAGCAGAGGCCTTCTGCAACCCCCCCCCCCCCCCGCCCAGGGCCTACCAGACATGGAGCAGTGATTCACAGCCAAATCCCTAGGAATTGGCACCCGAAGGCGAGCTTCCTCCTCAGTCCACTTGCTCCTAACCTGCAGCTCTGCAGGTGATTCTCCCAGAGTGGTGAGCTCAGTGGTGGAAATTCATCAGGATGTCAGCCTGAGCTGTGTCCTCATTTGGTACAAGATACCTGCCTAACAGCTTTGCGTGAGTGACCATCTGACCTTGGCGGGGCTGCTCAGGTAGGCAAGAAAGCCCTCCTTCCGGGGAAGCTCTGACAACTCTGGGGTCCTTCAGAACACTCTGGTGAAGGACACAGAGCACAGGCTCTGGATTTGCAGACCTGGGTTCAAATCCAGACTCTGCACCACCTCGGTGTTTTCTCAACAGTAAAATATCCTATTCACCATGAAAGGCTGTTGTTCGGAGAGAGGAAACAGACTACCTGATTATATACTAAGGATATACACTATATAGTAAGACTAATACACTATTATATATTAATACTGGTAATAATATAGTGTTCCTCATATATAATTGGTAGCTACTATAATTTTCAGATAGGACCACTTAAATTTAAGTACGAGGCAAAAATACATCCAAGTCCTAACTTGTGCCCACCTTGTCCTGATTCTCCTTGTAGAGTTCTGGAGGGTCCCCTGTTGAAGGGTCCCAGCCCAGCCTCCTGCCTCCCCCAGCCCACAGTGCAGGAGCCCTACCTCACTGCTTAGCTCTCTTCTCAGCAGGGAAAGACCGGATACGCAGGAACATTCCCTGGCCACGGACTTTGGTCTTGACCTTGGCTCAGGTGGCCTGCATCCCTAAGATGCCGCCTGGCCACGGTTCTGGCATGGTGCTCACTCTCCTCTGCTCCCGGGAACTGCTCTGAGGGCTGTCCTAAATTTGCAGAACCTCTCTACCTTTCCAAGCATTTTCACACGTGCGTCTAGGAATTTCAGCATTGAACTGGCATCTCTGCTCAGCTTCCAAAGCTTCTTGGCACCCTGACTTTTCTGCCTTTATTCCCATTTACCCTCTGTCCAACAGCTGCACTGGGACCCTTTTGACCATCCCCTCATGGTTCTTATCCTCTCTGCCTGTGGCCTATGCCTCGCCTGATGAGCTAGGGGATGAGGGAGGGCTGTGGACACATCTCTCTCATGCCATCATTCCTGGCCTTGTGGTCACCGGCTCTACACTGGACCTCTATTAGACAGCACAGTTCAGCTCTCTGCAGTGGCCTGCCTCCGGACCCAGCCCTCAAACCACCCTCCCCGCCACACAGAAGAGTCCCCTCCTATAGGTCAAACCTCTGCCCGCCCCCTCACCCCAGCATCACCCCTGTCGGCCCATCCGGCCGGAGCTGGTACCAAGTGGCATCTCTGGAGGAATCCTACAGAGGGACCTGGGCCAAAGCTCTGGCATCCCCTTCCCCCTCCGGCTGCCAGGCTTGGCGGCCCTGCCACTGTTGGTGATTGTTAGGGGAGCGCCGGGTGGACAGTGGGCGATTCAGTGAGCAGGCCTTCTGAGCAACAAGCCCCGTGCTGTGCCTGAGCTATTCAGCGTGGGCAGAAAAGGGTAACCTTGGCTTGCAGGGCGGGCGTGTTAACCCGTGGTGCACGGGAGCAGTTCTGGGTGCTGGGGGACTTCCTGCAGCTTGTCCATCTCCCACCCCTCCCAGGGCCAGCTGGGAAAACGGGCTCTCCTCGCTGCAGCCTCCTGGTCCCTCTCACCTAAGCCATTCAGGCCCTCAACTTGCCACTCCCGGCAGAGGTGGGCAGGAGAGAAGCCTTGGAGTGTGGGGAGAAGGAGCCCATGTCCGGCAGAGGGAGGGGGGCCTCTGAAGGTTCACAGTCAAGAACATGACAGGCAGTCAGAAGAGGAAAGTCCACCTCAACGACCCACAGCAGCCCTCTCCTGCCTGTCCCCCAACCTCACCTCGGTCTGAGCCACCCTCCCCCCCGCTCCGGGAGCTAGCACCTCCCCGAGGCTGGCTGTGCTGGGACAGGAGACCATCTGGGCAGGCGGCTTATTCCTAGAGGCACAAGCAGGGCAGTAGGCTGTGGAAGTGGCCACACCCAAGCCCGTCCTAGCCACGGGAACTGAACCACCCGCTTGACCTGTCTGAGGCACCATCTCCTCATCTCTAAAAGGGCACGGTGACAGTACCATTCTCATGGAAATGCTGGGAGGGCTGAAGGGGATGGTCCCTGGAAAGCAGCTGGCCTGGCACATGGTAAGTGCTCACAGTCATTAGTGGGGTTGGTACTCCAGGTCAGGGTTTCTGCTGCATGGGCCTCTGCCCAGAGAACACGGCAGGATACCCCCACATCCTTCTTTCCCAGGTTCTAACCTGTGCTGTGCTCATGGAGCATTGTGAGTCCAGCTCCCAGCTGTGCACCTAGTGCAATGATTTCATTCTGTTTCTTAACCAGCCCAAGTCACATTTCACAGCACTAGACTCAGCAGGAAGCCCTCTTTTTTATTGCTATGAAATTATTTCATTTAGTTTCTGCTAACATGTGGCTGTTTTGTTTTTTTTCCTTTATCCATTTGGGGTTGGGGTGGGGGGAGCCTGCCATTGTTCTTTGGGAGTCTATTGCTACAGATAGGTCTCCTCTACAAATGTTCACGATGTGGCTTGGGGTTCTAGGTTCTTCAAAACTCAGGACCAGAGACAACACTGGAATCTCCTGCCTCCAGGAAGGAACCAACGTTACCTGTGCTGAAGGACTCGAAGAGTCGAACGTTGCCCTGAGCGAGGGTTCGGTAGTGGGACCAACTGAAGTACAGCATCAGGGGCATCCAGATGATGGGGACATTGTACCTGCAGGAAAGCCATCAGGGTAAGAGAGATACATGCACTGGGGCTCGACTGCGTCCAGCTTCCCCAGAGACACATCTCTCAACTAGAGGAAGGATGAATGAGACCGAAGCCTATTTGCAAAGCTTATGGAGACACAGGGCCAAAGGGACACTGCTTTGGGGGTGGGGAGAAGAAAAGAAGAGAGAGACTGTAAGTCTATCTGCTTCTGTCTCTGAGGTAAGTTAACGGAAGAAAAGAACTGCATCCCTGCGGCGAGACTGTGTGCAGCTGGATGGATGCTGACCTCTTGTGGCAAAGGAGCCAATTGCAGGCAAAATTATTCCCGTGGGCTTTAGAAGCTGGAAAATCCTCCAAAGAGACTGGACTAAAACAGGGGTGACATCAAAAGTGATTCCGGTTACATGTTACGTTGCCACTGACTCAGTGGATAAGCCTGCAGAGGAATGGAGTATGTCTATGGCATGTTCCAGTATTCTCAACAGCTTATAATACAGCTGGAGGCTCTGGGGAGGGCCCCAACGGCCCCTTCCCCTTCTGTATCTGACTAGCAGTATCAGGAGAGAGGGAGCCCACCACGGGCCCAGAGCAGGGCTCACCAGACACTCTTGGAGAGGGCCTCGATGAGGTCAGAGTGGAAGAGGCGGATGGGTCTGATCACTGGCTGGTGGACCCACTCATCATACTTCTCTCCCAAGTGGCCTACCTGCCACAGTAGGGGCTTCTGCCAGTCTACCAAATCCTGCAAGAGACAAAGTCAAGTGGACTTGATATTCACACCTGTGCACACTCATTCTTCCAATACTCCAATCCCCATCCTCCACCTCAGCTCACGTGGTCCGTAGGGTGCTACCCACCCTTCCACTTCAGTGATCCCAGAAGTGACATGCTTATCTCAGCCCACTGGTCACAGAAATGTGATCTAGGACAGGCCCATGACCTGAGTGGATGCAATGAACTGTCAGACACCCTTTCTTTCTTCCTGCTGGAGATGCTAAGTTGGCAGGGCACAACCTTGGATTTGCTAGTAGAGCCTACTCGAGGACTTGGTCAATACAGAGAATAGCCAAACCAGGAGCTGGGTACACTGAATCTGAATGATGACACCTGCGCGCCCAGATTCAGCCACGCCTGAAGCCTAAAGTCCTTCCCAGGACTCGTTAGGTACAGGAGCCAATACATTCTGTACTGGTAATAAGAGGCCTTTTCCCTTTTACCATCGGCTTTCTTCTTGATGTTGACCTGAGCGTTTCATTCATTCATTCATTCATTCATTCATAAATTTGCTTGATATTTCATGTATGTATGTATTTTTATGCAAGCTGCTAAGAAAAATAAACAGTAATGTAAATGACTGTCTTCACTTTACCTAGCTTAGTGCTTAATCAGAGTAGACTCTAGAGTCAGGTCCAGATATAAATCCTGGCCCCATCACTTACTGTGTGGCCTTGGGCAAATTACCCAACCTCTCTGAGCTTCAGATTCTCCAGCTATGAGATGGAAGTAATAATAATAGTACCTGCCTAAAATGCTTGGCAACATGGAACATGCCATCAAGATAGTTTGTTTAGAGGTGATACAGGCAGGCTGAGATCAGGATGTAGAATGACTGGTACAAATGCCTGGGTCCGGGGTTGGAGACAAAGACTTCGCAGAAAACCCAGGGGTTGGGCTAGAGCTCATACAATATGGAGGACAAGGAAAGGAGGAGAGGGACAGGGTGTAGAGGAAGACGTGGAGTTGAGAATGACTGTGGCCCATTTGGTACCTTGACACTGATCCGCAGGGCAGGAGGAAGAAATCTGCTGACACCTTCAGATGGCAGAACACCCTGTACCAGGCCCACAAGTGGGCACTTCTTTCCCCAGGCCAACTGTTTTCAAGGTAGGGATGTATACATACCCTAGGGGTATTCCCAGGCTGATCCGCAGATGCGGGGAGAGAATATTAGAGACCCTTTCTATTTGTGATATATTTATCTCATCTTTAAACCACATATGAATATTTTCTAATGTACATAAGAGTACATTAGCACATGCAAATAATTTATACATAATTAAAATGGACATACAATGGAGAAGGCACTCTCAATGTTTTAGTCATAGGGATACAAGATAAAATAAACTTGGAGGCTGCAGCTCTAGGCAAAGGAAAACTCTTAAAGATTTCTGATGAGTCCGGGTATTGAAGAAGATTAATCTGGACCAAAATCAGTAAACTAAAACCAGTAAACAATGAATTTGTAGTGATGGGCCATCTTGAAAGCCAGACTCTGCCATTTATCAGAAATAGGCAAGTGCCTTTACCTCTTGGAGCTCCTCGGCTCCAAAAGCCAGCTCGCTCTGACCTACCACCCACAACAGGAGAGAGGCTGAGACGTGCCCAGTGTGTGGTGGGTGTCAGTAAATCTCCAACATAAGGGAGTAGACATTGAAGGTGAGAAAGGAGATAGTATCAGGAGAGTAAAAGAGAGGAAGAGGAGGTGTACATGATGGAAGAGCCCTTGAGCCTGGGAGAAGGAGTCAACAGTGATTCAGAGACCTGTCTTCCCGCATCCCTGGCTAGAGCGTCATTCTTGCCCAGACCTCCGTGCCAAGGCTGGCATAGCTTTAGCAGATCTCCAAGCCCTGCCACAGGTGAAAACAGCCCCACTACCACTGCCTTGGAGCAGGGGTGTAGGGGCCTCAGGGCAAGCAGAGAATTCACTAGGCATTCTTTCTGTTCCCGTGACCAGAGGGAAAGGCCCAAAGATCTTTGTGTTTCCTGCCACGTGAACTTGGTAATTCCTACATAGGGGCTGCCTTCCTGCTTCTCAGGTTAGGAAATGACTCAGGTCAGCCTGGAGACATACCATTCAGCACCAGTTATACCAGGCAACCACCCAAATTCCACCTGGTGCCTGCTCACTTCCTGGCCCCAGTCTCCACTCCTCCTTGACTTTCTCCCTTGGGTCTCATAGGAAACAGATTCATTGGGTACATGCTGTCTCATTCCTTCCATTCCTCGGCCTCATGTCTCTACACATGCACGCACACAGCACCACCTACCAGGAAAAAGAACTGGAGGAACCAGCTAGTGGCCTGTATTTACACCCTATCTTGCGGCAGCCTGCAGAGCCCCACCTCAGAGGAAGCAAAGCCAGGGTCATGGTCAAGAACTTGAGGCTCTGTCCCAAATGCAATAACCTTGAGAACGAACATCTGCAGAGCATTTGTCATGTGCCAAGCATGGTTCTAAACACGTTGGGATTCAATAATTTGATCCTCACCATACCCCTAACGAGGCAGGTACTGTTGTTATTATTCTGGAGACAGGAAATGAGACTGGGTAACTTGCCTAGTTACCTAAGTTACCTAAGGTTGCCCAGTTTTGTCTTTTTGATGAATTGGCTCCTTTATCTTTGGGTAATAGCTATCTTGGTCCTTTGTCCTTGTCCTGAAGTCCACGTGGTCCGATTTTAATGGAGCCACTACTGGGCTTTTTTTATGCTTGGTGTTTGCATGGTCTATCTTTTCCCACCCTTTTACTCTTCTTGAGTATATCTTTACATTTAAAGTGCATCTCTTGAGCATAGCATATAGTTGGGTCTTGCTTTTTTGATCTAGACAGGCAATCTCTGAGTTTTAATTGGAGTATTTAGTCCATTTACATTTAATGCTGGGGTAGGTCTACCATCTTGCTATTTGGTTTCTACTTGTTTCCTCCACCTTTCTTTCTTGTCTTGTTTGCATTAACCAAGTATTTATAAATATTCTTTTTTTACAAAAACAGATTTTATTTATTTGAAAGAGAGAATGAATGACAGGGAAGGGAAGAGAGAGGGGGAGAGAGTGAGAAATGGACTCCCTGCTGAGCAGGAAGCCCGATGTGGGGCTTGATCTCAGGACCTGGAGATCATGAGGTGAGCTGATTGCCGACACTTAACTGACTGAGCCACCTAGACATCCTGAAATATTCTATACTATAATCTCTATTGGCTTTTTAGTTATGCCCTTTTGTGTTTTTCCCACAGTTGCTGCTCCAAGGATGATAATATGCATCCTTAACTTATCACCATCTATCCTGAATGAAACCCCTGGATTTTATATATTCCATTTTTGCATGTTACATACAACATTTGATGTCTTTTTCCATTTGTGCACGTAATTCAGACTTAGCTATCTGAGACAGTGAACGTTTCTAGCTATAACACAGTGGTATGGCCAGGCAGGCCCCACCCTCAGCCCAGCAAAGGTTTGGGCAAATATTCACCTATTGATCCATTTTGCCCTTATTTCATAAGTGGGTAGAAAACAGCATAGGATTTACAAGCTTAATTCAGTTGTGACACAGGATATATGTCTAGATGAGCAGCAAACTGGGATTCTAGCCTGAATCTTACACCCTATTGCGAAGGGAGCAGAACAATAGGACAGCAGATATGGAGGGCTGGTTGTTTTCAGGTGTGGTGGACAGGTCCAGCCCCCGCAGCCCCCACCCCCTTGAACACAGGAGTCTCTCATTCAATGTCCTGTGGCCCATCTGGTCTTTGGAGATGACTGGTCCCTCCTTGGGTAGACCAGTGGTCACTGGCCACTGTACAAACAGCAGACTTGCTATCTAGAGTTGATTGCAAGGCTACCTCTAACCCACTCACTGGCCCTGGAGGGTCTCAAACCTGACTCCATGTCTAGCTCATGGTGTGTTTTATGTGAGGTGGCCCTCTGCTTCACTCTGGTGGCTGAAGCACCACCCTGGAAGAATCCCAAGGAGGCTCACTCTCCCCTCTGCAAACATCCCCCTCAGTCCTCAATGGCCAACACCTATATTTCCATTACTGGAGCCTTAGCCCACTATTCCAGGGGAAATAAAGTGAGACTTCCATCCAAGTCCAGAAATCCAAGCCTGCTGACCTCCTCCCCATTTTATGGGGAAAGAACACTGAGGCCCAGAGGGGGACAAATGACTATTGAAATGGGATTGGTAGGTCTTGGAGTGGGCGCTCCCCCAAATCCCCCCAGCCCAGTCTTCCCTCCACACAATCTCCTGGGGGATGGGCCATTCACCATATGCTCATCCTTGGTTTGGATAGGACATGCACCAACGAGGTGCCTTTTCTCAGTTCTCTTCCAGTCTGATCACTGACAGAAATTTTCAGCTGGGTACTAATACGTCCAGCACCTCTCACTCACTCACTGGGGCATTTCCAGCATGGCAGCTGGATGGGAACTGCTCTTGAGAAGGGGGATGATGAGAGAGGACAGCTCAGAATCTGATGGGATGGGAAGATGGGAATCCAAATAAATTTCACTTCCTCTTCACCCTGGCTCATGATCCCTTGGCTCCTTAGTCCTTCCAAACAAATGGCTCTCTTTCGCCCCCTCCTAGCACCTGGTCCTGCCACTTCCCACCCATATTTCCTAGGTTCTGGAACACAAGGAACACATGGGCAGAGAGGTCTGTGGGTTCTGTATGAGGCTGAGCAGGGAGAGAACAGACCGTTGACCACACCTCCGGTTGTCAGGTACCTGGGGGCTCCTGTAGCTACCTTCCCAATAGCAAATCCTCTTTTTACAGATGTGGAACCTGGTGCTCAGAGATAGCAAGTGATTCACTCAGGGGTGCCCAGCTCAAGTGGACTATGTGGATGAGGGTGAAGATATGCCCAGAAACTGCTTGTTGGGGGTGGGGGTCCTTTTATGAACTCAAAAATCCTGTGCAACAGGCTGGGCACCAGGAAACACATGCAAATGGGGGTAAGTTTGGCCAAGATCCTACTCCTCTCCCCCACCAGGCTCTGCCCCTGACCCAAGGGAGGGGGAGGGCTCTCCTGGGCTATGTCAGGAATGCAGCTGCAGCAGGGCCTGCAGGGGGAAAGGGCAGCTGGCTGCCCAGAGGGAGCATGGGAGGGCTTGCATGCTGCCAGGGTTGGAAGGGGGCCTCCCTGTCCCCCCAGGTTCCCCTCCTGTCAGACAGCACAGGGGCCAGGTGGCACCGACCTCTTCCCAGGGGCCGCCCCAGGTCAGGAGCAGCGAGCAGAGACTCTGCTTTTCCCCAGACAGGGCACCTGGGAGGAGAGGGGCCTGCGGCTCGGTGCCAGCAGTTCCTCCCACCTCCACAGCCTTGACCTCGAGCAATTGTTTGGATTGCCACGTCCACCCAAACCACAGAACTCCTACCTCCAGGGATGCCTCCCAAGCCAGGACGGTCAGGGATGGGCTTCCAACCAGCCGTGCCCAGTGGGGAGAGGAGTGAGGACAAGAAGCTCTTCCAGAATCCCAGCCACTGTTTCTCTGTCCCCATCATAGGCCCCCTGGGCCCAGCCTTCATGTCCAGTATCCTATACAAGCTGTGCTTTTGAGAGCTAGAGCCCGAGACGACCCCATTCTACAGACGAGGAGACTGAGGTCAGATGCTCAGCGGTCTGTGCTGCAGACCTGCCCTCAAGCCAGCCGGAGGTCTTAACCACAGGGCTGGGGGGCCTCCTATCAGCAGACTCAGGCCCCCCATGGCTGTGAATTCCCCAGTACAGAGGCTTTGAGGGTCTTGCAGGGGCCTTACGGGCCCGTCCTGTACAGTCTAATGGGGGGCCCCAGCTGGACAAGCTCAAGCCCACAGAGTCAGTTCCAGTCCACCCTCTTCCTCCTTGTACCAGGGAAGTGGTAGCCTCAGGCTTTCCCCCTATGAGGTTTCAGAGATGAGTGTGGCCGGGAAACAGGGGTGGAGGGCCTGGGAGAGAGAAGGCCTGGCCATGTCACATAGAAAGTCAGTGGGACCTCAGTCCTCGGGGCTGAGGAGCGGCTGAGACTCCTGCCCTGCCCCCATCCCAAAGCAGGCTGGCTGGCATTTCACCAGCAGCACACTTTCTCTACTCTTTCCTACATTTCCAGATCCTCCTGAAAACCCCAGACAGTATAGCGTGGGAATAATTTCCTCCATCTTGCAGAAAAACAGGCCTGGAGCTATGTGTGGTCATCCAGGTGTATGTCCTGTGCCCCCGCCTGCCCCATCCACGGCCCTCATGGGGACACAGAGGGCAGTGCCCACCGAGTGCACCTCTCTGTTTTCATCCTGGGTTATTTTCTGAGCCCTGCTGTGCACTTTGGAAGAGGGGCTAGAAGCTCTGGGCAAGAGAGTGAGACTCAGGAGACCAGGGCCCCAAAAGGACAGCCTTTAGGAGGTCCCTGTGGGTCTCTCTCTGGACTCTCTCAATGCCTACTCTGGGGAGGGTCAAGGTGAGAAAGGAGGCCCAGTAGACCCAAGGTGACTGGGGGACAGAGTATGGGGAGCTGAGCCAGGCCTGCTCCCACGGTGTTGAGGTTGGTGTTGAGGTTGACCCTCCCAAGATGTGGGCTGGGCAAGGGGTGCTTGTTCTGATCCAGGGGCCCTTCTCCCCAGTTCTCAGTGACTTATCTGAGGGTCCTGAAAGGTTAAACCCATGAAGCCCACATCAACATCTGTGTAGGCCCTGGGGACACCCCGGATTAGCCCCGATGCCAAGGGTTATGTGCATGGGGATGCGTGGACAGGGGACCTGGGGCTGGAGAGCCTGCTGGTGCACTTTCTTTGTAAGGCCCGTGGCTGGATGATTCCACCTGTTTCTGAGGGGTAGAGCCTGGGTCTCACCCTCCGGTAGCTGGTAGCCCGCAGAGACCTGGAACAGTTTGCGAGAACAATTCTGGATTCCCCCAAGGCAGGGTGGGAAGGAAGCGTATACCTATACCTCAGGCTATACTCAGCCTATACCTATAGCCTATAACTATACCTCAGCCTCGTCCCTCCCCTCTGCCATCCCCTCTCCCAGGACAGGGTGGCTGTCAGGCTGGAAGGGGTCCCAGATACACAGCAGAGAAGGGGGCTCTGCAGTAACCTCTGGCCACCGCTAGGCCAACTAGCAGGTCACTTTGGGCGTGACACTTGGGCTCTTCCTCATTAGTTAAATCAAGATCAGTCTAATCCCTACCCTGTAGTGTTGTTGAAAGGATTAAATCAGATAATAGATAATATGGATAAACGGCCCAGCCCAGTGTCTGGCACGTGGTCAGAGCTCAATAAAAGAAGGGGTCATTCAGGGCTTACCCCGCTGCCTGGGGAGGTTCTGGAAACCCCTCCAACCCCACCAGCTCTCGCTGGCTCCCGGGAGGCTGGCCCCCAACATGGGAAGGGTGGAGGGGGTTGCCGTGGGTATGGGTAGGGGCGGGGCTCTGATGAGGACGCAGTCAGTGGTGGAAAGAGGCAGTGGGACAAATAGGACACGTGTGCCTAGAAGCTGGGCCGCTCTGGCCACCTGTACCCAGGCAAGCTCCAGGCTGGCTGGGTTCCAAAACATAGGGAGAGACAAATAGAGCATAGTGTAGGGTGAGTAGCTGCGGTGAGGTTTCTCATCCCACAATGAAGTTTAGATCCTGCCTGAGTGATCGAAGGAATGATTTAGAAATTGTTCCAGTAAAATCCCATGCAGAGCCCGAAAGTCAGACCACACCGCACCTCTAAGCAGGGCAGGGCACCTGGGCCACTTCCTGGCCCTTTCTGCTGTCTTTTTAGAACCTTCCACCCTTTGCCCTGGTAACCCACCTCAGCTCCCCCTCACTCGTTCCGGTACAGCTCACTCCTCCTCCAGCTCCTAGGGCTAAGGAGGCTGGGGTTCTAGAAGCTAAGCCTCCCCTCCTTGGCAGCACCCAGAGGGGCTCCCGTAGGATGCAAAGCACTAAGGGTTAACTTTGGAAAGTCCTTCTGCCTAGGAATGGTGTGCAAGTCCACCGCAGGCCGGGGGAACTCCAGCTGAAGAAAAGCTACCACCTCTTGGCCTCCTTCCGCAGCTCCTCAAGGTCCAGACCCAAAGGACCCACCCAAGCCTCTGGCCTGGGGCAGAAACAGACGTAGGGTTTAAATCAGACCAGGGACTTGGAGGCTCTCGCAGTGTCTCCACTCCCCAGAGGGGGGTGGGATGGACCATGTGGTAGATGAATTCCAAAATAAGAAAAAGCTAGCAAAGCACTGTTCCCCCTCCCTGGGAAGCCCAGCTCTCCATGCTGTCTCCAAGGCCCCCAGTGGGGTCCGTGGCGGGGGTGGGGGGGCTTTCCAGAGCAGGTCTCCATGCTGTCTCTCAGCCCGGAGACACAGGAGGAGGGGGAGGAGGAAGAGAGAAAGTGTGCGAAAGACAATGACAGAGAGGCAGGGAAGGTGAGTCAGGCTGTGCTGGCGAGGAGCCAGGAGCAGGCCCTGGGAGGGGAGGCCCTTGTTCCCCTCTGGTGGAGATGGAGGCCTGGGGTAATGGCGGAACAGGATCCGATGGCTCGTCGTCCTGCCTCATGCAGTGACATGGCTCAGGTCAGTCTAGAACGTGTGGCCTGGGGGGACTCGGAGGACCCTTCCCCGGGGCAGGGCCGGCAATGCAGGATCTGCTTGTCCTCAGCAGCCTCTTATAACCACTTGTACCGAGACCCCCCTCCCCAACCTCAGACCCCAGCCTGGGCAACAAGCCATGTGGCCAACCTAGGGGTTGAGGTCAGCACCCCATTTCTGGGGAGCCCTCTGGGGGCGAGCTGTGCGGCAAGCCCTCCCTCCAGCTGGCGCATTTCCCTTTTGGTTTTTATGTCTCCCTGAGGGGGCTGGGCCCCAGAACAATCTGCCGGCAGCTCTCTCTAGCACACCCAAAGGTGTCTTTGCCAAGGGCAGAAGAGGTCCCCGAGGGGCAGTGGCAATTTCTACATCACAGATCCTATCTCCGAGTTCCTGGGGTCCCGGCCAAAGGGGCCCAGGAAACAGTCAGCTTTTGTGGAGTCCTCCCCACCTCGGGCCACCTATGTTCTCCGGGTGTGCTTCTCCCATCTCCCCATGTGGGAATAATTGTGTGTGGGGGGGTCTGTCCTCCCCCTCACCCCCGCAGGGTGTGAGCTCCCTGGGGCTGGGGCCTGTCCTGCTTGTCTCTTGTCCCCAATGTCCAGCACAGGTAGGGGACATTTATGGACGTGCACAGTGGAATCTATTCCAGGATTGGGGATAGTCCCACGGCGCGGGTTGGAGGGAAATGGCTCTCAAGGCTGGTTCCCCCCTGATCTCCCGAGTATATCCCAGGCATCCCCCTGCCCCCAGTCTCCCAGGCAGACAAATGTTGTAAATGGTTCCAACCCCATCTCCCCTGGCTTCAGCAGGCTCCCAAGCCGGTATAGACTGGCAACTCCTGAGAGTGATTGTTGGTCCCTGGGGGCAGCTCTGCCCTATGTGCTGGTCAAGGTGGGTGGGTCTGGACCTTCTGAAATTATCATTGTGCTCTTCCCAGCTCCAGGTCCTTGTGGGAGACCGCCCTCTGGGGTCTTCAGGGCCGGGGTCTACGTAGACCTCCTTGGGCCCAGCTTCCCCACACTCACAGCCACCTTGGCTGGGGTTTGTTGGCTCAGATTGTGACCGTGAGCTGTGAGCACCTGCTTCCCCATCCTCATTCCTCTTGGGAAAATGTTATGAATAACCACAGCCTTGTGCTCCACACACTCTGGCCTTGGCCGTGGGAGCCCTGAGTCATCACCCCGCCCTGCCCCGTGCCAGCTACCTTGTCCCAATCCATTGCTTTGAGCTTTGGTTCCATCCAAGGGTCTGTCTTTTGAGTGTTCGCAGAGGTCACAGTCCCATTCTCCACAGAGCCCTGGGGAGAGAAGATACAGGTGATTACCTAAGGCCCTGGGTGGGGGTGGGGGGCTGGAGGACAAGGCAGCAGGGAGCCACCCCACAGCAAGGCAGTCCCAAGTGGTGAGAGCCCCATGATGGGGCAGGGCAGGGGAGTGGCAGATAGGGTGGAAATCAAGGACACTGAATGGCTTTGAAAATAGGTAGATACAGGAGAGAAAAGAAGCTGGCAGAGAGGCTGTAGGGAAGTGAGAGCCATTAGTGGGTATGCTGTGGGCAAGGGGGCCCTGCCAGCCTCTCTCTCTAGGTTCCCGGCAGGTGTCAGGCAGAGGGAGTCACAGGGTGGCACCCCAGGTACCTGGCAGCCTCACTGTGTCATGCCAATGACTACCTCAGCTCTCTCCCTTCCTGGTAAGATAATGCCACAGCCTGTGCAGAGCTGTCTAGGACTGCCCGCCTATCAGAAAAGCAGCAGAGAGAGGGAGACGTCCCTCCAGGAACTCCCATGTGTAGGTCAGCAGCCGTACGTGGGGCGGAACTGGCAGCCGGAGGCCCAGATGGGCTCAAGGTGAAATCGAAGTTGCCAAGAGGCCAGGTCAGAGGGAAATGGAGTGTACCAGGAAGGTCACATGGCTGCAGCTAGCCCTGATGTCGCCCCGGGTGAGGCTGGAGAGGTCAGGCCAGTGTGTAGGTGAAACTCACGTCTCTCTGCAGGAAAGGTGGGGAGAGCCCGTGCCGAGGGGAGGCCTGCCGGGGACTAAAGGGAACCGTGGTGCTGGTGGCCATGGTTGGGCCCTTGGAAGCAGGGTACTGGCAAGAACTGAGAAGCCTGTCTGGGAAGTCCTTTTGGGTTTCTACTGGCACAATCCTTACAGTTTTTTCCCAAATGAACCGAGAGAACCTGGTGGTGACAATGATACTGGCATTTTCTGGGGGAAACCCATATTCACCCAAGTAAAATTAGGCTTTCTGTCTTGGGGTGGGTAGTTCTGTACCTCAGTCTGGACCGCTATGCTGAAATGCAAATTCTTTAAAAAAGCATCTTGAATGACCTCTTATGGACAGAGAAGAGTGGGTTTTATAGCTATTATATGGTGAAACTCTCTAAGTGTCCAAAATAAATGTCCTCTAATACACCTGCCCCTTCTAGTTCTGTTCTAGCCTCAAAATACCCCAGAGTGCCCCCCCAGCCACTGCGATATTGATTCTCCCTTCCTCCTGGATAATTATTTTCTCCTGGGCACCCCAAATCCTTTCTTAAGTAGGGTCATCGGATCCTTCTCTGCACCCATCCCAAACAGGGCAGGGGAGGGTTTTGTGCTAGGCTTTTCAGATTTCCCTGAACGGCAGACACACATCTGTTTGGGGGCACAACCAGCCGACCAACCTTACGGCATGGGGCACAGAGCCCTCATCCACCTGGCCCGTGTTTCTGCTCACTCAAGTCTGGACTGTTCTCTTAGGGTTCCGGTCCCTTCCCTCCAAGATTGTGCACACTTTTTCCTTTGTCACCTGCCAGCCTGACACATATTTGAGGACAGTCAACACCCCAGCCCCTGCTACCTGCCTTTCTCCAAGACCATCGGAGGATACAACAGGGTCTCTAAGCATCAGGATCGGCCCGCTGTTCCTCTTCCATGGCAGATGTGACAGGACCAGTACAGAACCCAGCGGGGCTCGCACCTTCCTGGTGTGGAATAGCAGGGGAACTGAGCTCCCACTGGCCCTTTGGGCGGCCATCCTGTGCATTCATTCACTTAGCTTATGGTCACCTGAAGCCTTTTGTACAAGCTGCTGCTGGGGCATCGTGTGCAGAGCTGATGTGGTCCAGGAGGTGGTTTGGACCCTCAAACCTATTCACTGAAGGGCCCCAAAAGGTGGGTGATGACTGGATGCCCAGAACGGGGTCGGGGCGGGGGGCAGGTAGTAGGGAGTGGAAAACAGAGAAAGCCTGGAAATGAGATTGGAGATGGGAAGTCTGCAATGACAGGAAGCCTTGGTGCCATATCAGCTTCCTCTTTGGGGCTGATAGTCTCTGTGCAGTATCACTGTGGCCCCCTGCCTCTTCTCCCAGATCTTCCTTCCCACACGGCTTTCCTCTCTTCGTCCATCACACATGTTTGAGCACCTACAATGTGCCAGAGCACCAGCCCAGAGACTGTCTCTCTGACCCTGGCCCCACTCCTTGCCTCTGGAGAATGTTTCCACATCATAGTCTGGCCCAAAAGCCCCGTGGTCCCCTCTGATGCCACTTCCCCTGTAAGTCGGCTTCTGGTTGGCCTCCCAGAATCTTTCCCTTCTATTTCCAAACTCCTCCGCTTCTAATGCCCTTGGATGAACATTAATTTTCCCCTGTAGCCAGTATTTTCCTTCTCAAATGTCATCCTTCCAGGATGATGACAAAGGTTAATATTCACAAACGTGTACTATGTACCCAGCCTGTCATCATCCTAGGAACCGTACAAACAACCGTATAACCTCTTCATTTTCCAACGTTTAAAAAAATCATACTTTCCATGTGTCCCACTGCCCCCGTTGCTTATCTATAATTTACTGCCCCTTGTTGTTTTTTGTATGTTTGGGCAATTATCTTGTTTGTCCAATGGTGTGATAGGTTCCAATAGGGCAGGATAGGTTTCCTCTTTCTTAGGGTGCCTAGGATGGTCTCCCCAAAATAGTAAATGCCCCAATCGTTATTTCTTGAGTGGGCATGTGTCAGTATTCTCTGCACACTGGCCACAGTTCCCCAAGGTACTACAGGATGGTGGGCTTGGCTGCTGGGTTATCATAAAACCCTGGGTTCTGCAGAGTTCCTGCCTCTTGGAAATGGAAATCAAACCTGCTTTGAGGAGAGAAGTGGTCCAGGACACTGAACACACCATCTTAAAATGCCCCTCTGGATAGGACAGTGCCCAGATACAAGGGTCAAACTTGCAATAATCTGGGCCATATATCCTTGGTGCCCTTTGGCCAAGTACAACAGGATAAGCAGGATGAAAATTGCCTCAGACTGATACAGGAGCACTAGCGCTTTATTTTGCCAAATAAATATATTTTTAAAAATTATCAGCAGCAGCATTTCAAAACTGAAAGGAAGTTTCCAGACCAAATCGGTAGAAAAGGCATACTTCCAGAATAAAGGGCAGTTTTTTTCTAAAGAAGGACATTCGGCAACTTTACACTGACATTTCTGTTTTAAAAAAATGGGCCCTGGGACGCCTGGGTGGCTCAGTTGGTTGGACGACTGCCTTCGGCTCAGATCATGATCCTGGAGTCCCGGGATCGAGTCCCGCATCGGGCTCCCAGCTCCACGGGGAGTCTGCTTCTCCCTCTGACCTTCTCCTCGCTCATGCTCTCTCTCACTGTCTCTCTCTCTCCAATAAATAAATAAAATCTTTTAAAAAAATTAAAAATGGGCCCTATTTGTAAATATTTTTTAATGCAGAAAAATTACAACCTAAAATTTTGTTTTTAATTATTTTCTTGGTTCAAAGTAGCCAGTGCGGGGCTCGACAGACTCTGAGTAACAGGAAGTAGAGCAAATGTTCACTTGTTCCAGTTCTCAGGTGTTTTTTCTTTCTTTCTTTTTAAAAAAATTTATGCATTTATTTGAGGGTGAAAGTTGCGGGGGTGGGGGGCAGACAGAAAGAATCTCCAACCAGACTCCACGCTGAGCATGGAGCCCCATACAGGGCTTGATCCCATGACTCCGAGATCACAGCCTGGGCTGAAACGGAGACTCCTATGCTAAAACTATTGAGCCACCCAGGCGCCCTGCTCCTAAGGTTTTCTTAAAAATTACTAAAAACCCAGTTTCACAGACAGGTGTTGGCTTCCAATGGAAACAGAACCTTGACGTTTTTTTCCTTCATCTGGAAATATTCCAGGTGAAAGGAGGGGAGCGGGAGAGAGCCACGCCCGCAAGGCATGGCTCATGGGCTCGCATCCCCAGCACTGAACGGGGATTCCCATAGGAGGGGGAATCCCTTGAACCCTGGGCCAGACCCCCATGAATGAAGCCTGGCACTGGGGTGCACGGCCCCTGTGCACGGAGGATGAGGAAAAGAGGGAGGCAGGGAAGGGGCCAGGTCCCACTTCCTCCTGTCCTTCTCTTCCCTCCTTCTGCCTCCCCAGCTTACTCTCAACTCGAGAGAGCTGGAGCCACCAGGTAGCAATGTCGTGGGTGATAGGCTCTTGGCAAATGCATTCCAGACGGACCATACACGCAGGGTGCTCCCCAGGAGGCCTCCTCGGGACCACACCCCTCACTGGCAGAAGCCCAGGTTATTAATCACAAGGCCGTCCGCGCCTCTGGTCTGGGAGACTTCAAGGAGAGTGCGGGCGAGCAGCACGTTGGTACGGCCAGGAGCTCAGGACACGCTCAGGCACCAGGAAGTGTCCTCTAGCGTGTCTCTCACCGACTCTTTCTCGAGTCCACTGTGAGAGTTCAAAAGCTCTAAAAGGCTTCTCCACTCACAAACAGGACGAAGCCCTTCCCGAAGATGGGCCCGCATCCGCGCTCAGGAGGCCGCTCCTGTCTGAGCCCGGGCGCGGGGGGGGGGGGGGTGTCCCACGAATGAGTCCTCCTGGGAGCCACTGCACCGCACACACTGGTCTGGGCCGCGTTTTCCAGGCTTCCGTGCCCCAGTGTTTATTTTACAGTTGAGCCGGGCTCACCTTTGAATTCCACAGGCAAACACCATCCATGAATCAGAAGTGTGTAAAGGTCACTCCTGGGAACTAGGCTATAACTCAGGCTTGAAAAGATTTTATTTTTTTTTTAAGTTTCTTGGAAACTTCCACAATGCATTATTTAAAAGACTCTCCTGGTCCTGGAAGCACGCCCCAGAGATCTTCAAAAACCAAAAGAGTGTCAGAAAACAAAGAATATGTGCGTTCTTCAAGAGCTTGGAAATGGCTCTGCCTTCTGGTCGAATGTGTTTCAGTATTGTGGGAAGGGAAGGGAGCGCTTGGGACTCAGGCTCTCAGGCTTTTTCCAGAATGGTCAGCCGTATGAAT